CCTATGCAACAGACCTTGAGGGAATTCTGCTCCCATTCATCGCTCTCATGTTCAAGTGCTCATCACTGCTTTTCTCGCGAAATCCCCGACTTATTCCAGCGCCAAGCACTTTCACCACGACCGTTCCTACTGGAATTTAACAGGGACTCACAACAGAGATCTCCCCTCCTCCCAGGCCGGGCGATAACCTGCCCAGATATGGCGTAAACAAGAAGGCAAGAAAATCACTCCAAAACAACTCCACAACCACGCCACTCCGGCGTTTCAATGCCGCTGCTAAACCCGCACTTTGTGAGGGTTGCATTACAGACCTTCAAGTTTGCTTTGCGAATCTCCGAGACGTCAACTTCGCCATGCAAGGGCGACAGCGGGTACCGCGGCATTGACGGATACCGAGTTGAAGACGACAAACTGCGCTCCAGCAAAACATCCTCCTTCTTCTTCTTTCTCCTCTCGCTCTCCGTCGCCGACCCCGTTCGAGGTGCAAGCACAACTTTCATCAGCGACTGCATCGCTCCACAACCACCTCAATCCAGCTCTCACGCTCTTCAACTCTCTTCTGCTCCCTCTCTCTCTCCCTCTTTTACGAGCCTCTCAAGAAATCCTCTACAACCTCTTCTACCTGCAATCACGACCGTCCCCGCTCCGAAGCTTACCGCAATTCTCACGCCTGCGCTCTCAATTCCCGCCCACGCTAATCCCAACGACACAAGGTCCTATTCAAACAAGCGGCTGATGCGACACCAGGTCCTCCCCACGTCACGTTCCCCGTCATGCAACTCAGACAGCAGCGCGAATAGGCGCAACACGAACCGTATCCAATTTCAATCCCTACGCTGACTCTACTCCACCACTCTCTCCCACCCCTCCTAATATACCTCACGAAATCGCTGCGCCGTCACCACGGAACGAATTCCTTGTGTCGCACTTTCATGGTGGATCCCAGGATCTCGAATAAGTTCTCGAGGTCTCGAGAGCTGCAGGACCCTTGCGTTGTTCATGAAGGTGGGCCCCACTGTCAATGCCGTGCTCGGCAGGCTTGTCTATTAACAGCTGTCCAATGAAACAAAGCGAACGATCCCCCAACACCCAAGCAAAATATACTCGACCAGAAGCTTCATGCCCAGTTTCGACCCCAACCCACTCACGGCATCAGGGCATGTCCAGATAGACGTCGGAGGGGTCGGGACAGGAGGCCGCGAAAGCATCGCAGACGGCTCACGTTCACTGATGTCTCGCGGATGTCGCCATTCACGATTTCCAATGGTTCATGAACACACTCATCTACTGCAGTGCCGCATTGCGATGCCGTTGCGAACACAGTTGCGAACGCAGATGCGGAGCAACCCGATGACGAACA